ACTCAGAATCGCACGAATCGCACCACACCCCCTGCTCTGCTCTCGCACCCATAATCGCACGAATCACCATACACCCCTCTTACACCTGCGGAGCGGAGAAGTTTTTTGCTTGGTTCATCAACGTCACTAGGCTAATTCGGCCATTGCTGTCCTGTTTACTGCCACTAGCTTTGCATTTTCACCACTTTTCTATTTCTGTCACCTCTTATCTCTGTACTAACCTTACTTTATACAACGCCATGCGTCTGTTTGTTTGTACAGAAATCCGATGTTTCCTGGAGAAGCTAATGTCTGGGAAGGGGTGGGCATAAGTAAGATTAAAAGGGCACATAAGAGCTCAGGTATCAGATTACAGGTTCATGACTCCTACATCTGAGGGTGTAGCGGGAACGGGTGTTCTTCTGTGATACAATAGTCTTGCCTATATACGTTTATTACTAATACAACATTATAAACAGAACATGGAGAACGGGTCAAGACGATGAGGCCATACGGCCCAGGCGATGATCCACGGCGGCGGAGTAGAGTAAGTCGACCCAGCGTCTCGAACCAGCCTCTTTTATATCGGTCTTGTGCGACGTTGCATAGTAGATTGATGGCGGNGGCCATGATGAAGCGGCAGCGAAGCGAGGACTCGACATCTCTATTCCTTACAGTAAGATCGTCCTCGAGCTTCGATCGTGCTTCCGGTATGGCACAGGCATTCTCATAAAGCGTGAAGCTACATAAAACATCTGAAAAGGTGATGAAAGTGGGTGTTGGGCATCTTTCTCCGTTTTCCCGGCCCTACGTAGGCTTGGGGAGGCAAAGGAAGGTGCTGGAAAAGAGATATTCATTTTCTATAATCTATTCCTTCTTTGGTGGCTTAATATAGGACATGTTCCTTTTAATCGCTGAAAGGAGTCGTGATTAGGTGAAACACCGAGATAGTGAAGGTCTATGTTGATTATAAATGAATTTGTGGGAGGTAATTCAGAAATTATATGTTTTTTCAGATGTTCTCACTTACCTGGATATATGTGCGTGGGATGGAGCTGCCTTACTTAGCGTAACGCCATGAGGAAAGAAAGGATATTAGTGTGAATTAATGGTGGGAAGGTGGTTCCCTCTGATTTTAATTATTATTTAGGTGGTAATTAGAAGTATGTTGGGAAAATAGCATTTTATATGAATTGTCTTGCCTCACTGATTATGTAGCTAGGGAAAATCATAAAATTTCAGGATTGCGCCACGTCTTTATATTTTCCTTGGTTCAAACTAGTGTTGGGATGGTTTTTAAGTATTTTATTTTCGTGATCCCCATTGGCGGATGTAATATATATGCTGAAGATATTTATTTACCTGGGATCACGGCATGCCATTGGCGATGACCTTAAAACACTGTGGTTTTGGGAAGTGCACTCGAGGGGGACCCTTCACGTTGATAATACCTCGTGCAAATACTTGAGGTAAATGATTGTTTCTGTTATGTGGGCGTGCTTATTAAGCTGCTATATAAGAAGGGGTCATAGAGCATAAGGAGTATTTGCTGTCTTCTTTTTCTACAGTAGCTCACATATGTGAACCTTAGGTTGCTACATGAGGAAGTGGCGCAATGGCAGGAGCACGTCCCCCATGATGGACGTCCAGGAAAATAAAGAAGTTTTTTGGAAAATGAATTTCTCTGAATAGATATTTTAATCTTGGAAATGTGTATTTGTACTTTACTCATCAAGGTTGTGAGACCTTGTGTATTTAAATATTGACAGCCCTCCCAGGAGTTTGTGCTTATAGGGTAACTTTCATTTTCTTAATCTAATCCACTTAGCTAATATGTCAGACCATTCCTATCTGTCTCCCGGAGACTTTCATCGTACGATGATTCAGACCTAAATAGAAAGTATTGGAGAGAAAGATTTACCTACCCTTTCGTCTAATTTACTTTCTATTTTCAGCCGACCGGCTGCGATCGGTGTCTGTCCAGGCTGACAGAGATCAGTCTGCTGCAGACCCATCGGCACGCTATAGTTGCCTGGGGTGAGAAGCTGGATCGACAGGATGAAGAGCATAAAAAAAAGCGGCTCAGGTGCAGAAGGAGATGCGCTCCTTACAGGCGTGTATCGATCAAATGGAATTTATGCATCGTGCGGTATGTGATCCCGATAATAATAAATTTTTCTTCCGGTGTTCCCTTCCTTTTATTATTCGTTTTTTAGTCNACGTCGGCGATCAACCGCGGAAGCTCGGAAATTTCCCACACCTTCAGCCTGCATAACTACATCGCCGGCGACGACCGTACTAACAGTCCGCCGGAGCTACCCCAAAACGACGAGTCGGGGCCGGCGCAGCCTGAAGAACAGGACAACCATCCATAAACGAACATTATAGAATTCACACCGTAAGTAACGGCAGCTGTCAAGAAAAGATTCACATTATAAGTATCGGCAGCTGTCAAGAAAGTTCTAATGGTGCAACGACCTCTCAAGAACGCAACGTTCAAAACGGAAGCCCACCACTTGAAGTCCCTATCTTTTCAGGAAGCCATAGAAAATTTAAGTTTTTTTCGTCTACCTATCGCGGATAACACGCGATTTTATACAATTTTCTTTCCCGTTGAATTCATTAATTAAGGCTATGACTCGGATACTGGTCACACGAATCTGACTTGATTTCAGCTTCCAGAACACACATGGTGAAAACACAGTACGAAGACGCTTTTGCAGCTGGACGAGGACTGCGCACGTGCGGGTGTGGTGCAGTAGGAACGAATCGCCGCGTCGCGGCGAGACGGACGCCTGTGGTATCATCATCAGTCGAGCAGTCGAGGACACATGCCACGCTACACTACCGGAGTGTATATAACGAGCAAGCTGGGACGGCTGCTATCGCTACCGCACGACTCTTCTCGCAGCCCCGTCGCCTCGGCGTAGGCCGGAGGTACTTTCCCCTACATGTGATTCATTCCCCCAATATATTATCCTTAACGTATTAAAGATAAAGCACTGATATAACCTGTTGGAAACCTCAAATACCGCACACATCAGAGACATAGATCCGTACAACCTTCAGAGACATAGTTCCGTACAGCCTATCATCTGATATGGAGTCCCGGGGAGACCTTCTTTTCGAGAAGAGTAAAAAGAAAATGTTATCCACATACTACGTAATATATTTGTTTTTAAAAACACTGTCGCCAGCGTTTCTCTCGTAGAGAGTGCCTCAGCAGTGTGACAAAACTCCACGCCGTTCTGGATGCTGCGAAGAAAGTTTCGCTCGCACAAAGTGAACTTCAAAAGGAGTCCCTAACAAGAACACACGAAAAGAGGGAGGCCTTGAAGGAGTTTGAGATGGGGTGAGCCATGTGCACCATCGCCTACAAGTGAACAAAAAAATTTATTTCCACTTCATATCCGTTTATTAATATTGGTATTTTTGGGAAGCGCCTGACCGAGAGGGTCGGCCCAGCTCCCCTCTGCCACCAACCTACCAGAGGCAAATTTACGGGTGGGGATTTCCTACTACCCCCAGGCCTAGGAACGAGTAAGTCTGCGTGAAACGACTGAATGTTTTCAGCACGGCATTCAGCAAAATGTTAGTGACGCCAGTTGAACCAAATGGATCCGAACACCAACAGCAGTGTTGAAAGAAGAAAGAACTCCTTGTTATCATGTTAGACAATTTCTTATGTAATGAAGACTTACCCTGTTGCGTTTTTCTTTTTGTTTTATGAATAAAGAATTTGAAGAAGTGTAATTTTGGGGAACTATTCGTGATCACACTCACCATCGACATCCTACGCCCACGTTTGGCCGCCACCAAAGTGCAACGGTCACATTACTTGCGACCCCCCCCCCACTACTCTTTTCGCNCGCCAGAGTCGATACCAAAGGCGATTTGGGACGAGTGGATGGCACGACTGCAATTCAGCGACGGAAAGAAATATTTGCCCGCGATTGGATCTCTTTGTGGATGCGTGTATCCAGATAAGAACAGTGCAGGAGAGACGGTTATTCCTGGAACATTATGGGAAATGCGCCGCAGATATCACGCAAAGTGTTCTCCACTTTCTCACCAACAGAAAGTGGAGTCTGCTAGACGTCAGTGTTGTAGATGCGTTCCGCACCGCAAGCGACCATAGGCTCGTCAGAGATGAAGTCCGCCTACAAGCGAAACTCCGAAGACTGATCACTTCCGGCCCCTCCCATTCGACTACCACGGTACCACGGTAGCGCCATGGAGGTGGCCGCTGCTCAGTAACCTGGCAGTATGCACAAGACTTGTAACAAGATTGCGACTTGCTTGTAAAAGAACTTCTGTGCTGCGCAACGCATCGGCTGGGCTTGTACGTCAAGAGAAGACGGTTGTCGGTGTTGTCGACAACTGCGCGAGACCTATCTCGAGGAATCGTACCGCTGTATGGCCACCATCGCGCCCTATAGTGCCCGACGCTAAAAGAGATCTACGTGAAAGAATTCTGGTAAAACAAAGGGAACTACTGGAAATGGAAAGTAATCGGGCCTCTCGTCAAGGGCCGGGACCTCGCGAACGCGACCATGGTTCTGTACAGGTTCGAAGAACCCTTTTTCCAGTGTAAATCTAAATATGTTGCAGTTATCAATACTATTAGTTCAGAATGATGACGTGACAACGATGCCCTTTCTAGGGAAGTGCGTGGGCCGGGGATCTTCGGATCCCGCGCACAATCGTCGTTTTTGGTCCCGCGTATATAAGCCCGCCAATCCACGTCGTCAATCAATTACTCACATCCGGCACAATCTCTCCCTTTCTGCCTCGTTGATTCTGTTATTTGTGTTCGAGTTATTATCCAAATTTTGTATTCTGGTTTGATTACCCAAGTTTGAGGTAGCCGTGTTGTGTTCTACATACGATTAACTCGCGTGGCACACCAAACTAAAAGGTGAGCAGTTTGGAAGAGCCCAATACGGAAAGATACAGGAGTCGACCAATTTCACATCAACCTGCTGGAGCAATGCAATACAGACAGATTTCCCACGATCCTCATGTTCCAACGAGAGCTGCGCGTGCCGATCGGGAAAGGAGCCAGGCAGGGTGACACGATATCTCTTGAACTAATCACCACCGCATTGAACCACGCGTTGCTGCAATTGGACTATGGCGATAAAAACATCAACATCGGGGGCAAGAAATTATCCAACTTGCGCTTCGCAGACGATATCGTCTTCATCAGCCAAAATCGAGAGGAGCTGCAGCAGTTGGTGAAGGAGTCGGACGGCGTCAGCGAAGCCATTGGTCTCACGATGAACAGGAGCAAGGCAATGGTCACGCGAAACGAATAGGCGGATGCGTCACCCATAACTTTCAAAGGAGTCATGTTATCCTTCACTGACTCTTACATGTACCTTGGCCGTCTCATCTCCATAGGCAACAACTTGCGTGCAGAGATTATTAGGAGCAGAAGACGCGCGTGGGCGGCAGTCGGAAACATGAACGTTTTTTCGTTATTTTCTTTCTTCTTCTCTTCACTTTGATTACTTCGTTTTCTTGTGATATCTCCTATCTTCACTGACTCCCCCACCCCCATCTGCGTATCCTGTATAATTAGACTCTAGCACGTCAGTAGTTTTTAACTCGGCCGGTGATAATCAATACTGGTGATACGTAGTATGTAAACTGGAGCTGTAAGCCATGTACCCTAAGCGAGATAGTGTGCGCAAAACAAAGAATTCGGCCTCCGATTCTAACAAAGTTCCGGCCATTTCTAATGGGAATACCGAACGGCACTCACTATCTTCACAAGAAGACTATTCCAAACTGGCGTGAGTGAGCTCTTGAAAACAATCATGGGAAGAAGTTCCAACCCCGTCGTTGGAAGAATGCTGGTGGCGCCTTCGGGAAAAATTCCGAAGAAACTGTCGGACATCGTTGAAGAAGATAAGCGCTCCCGTAGCTAAGTAATAAGCTATTTGGAGGAAGCGCCTCCGCACACTAGAGCGTCAAATGACCTGGAACGGAAGGTGTGTGATCTGCTGGATCACCTGGACGTCGAGTGCCGTGCGGTTGAGATCTATCACTTTGGGAAATCCACGGACCGGATCGCCCCAGACTCGTGAAAGTAGTTCTGCCATCCAAAAACCATTGGTGAAGTGCTTTCAAAAATGCTAAAAGTCTGAAATCATCGAACAAGTTCAGAAACATTTTTGTTAGACGAAGTAAGAAAGAGACCACGATTACGATCTGAAGCAACAAGCCAGAAATCGTAATCGGGGAAGGATAAACGAAAATGGGTGGTGTGTAGAGGCGAGTTGAAGCATATTAAAGAATTTACCAACAAAGAGCGCGGAAACACATAGATTCGCATGGTTGTTTGTCGTTATTACTGAAACATGGTTAACCTAAGATGTACTTAATTCGGAGCTAGTAGGTGATCTCCCTTATTCTGTTTTTCGTCAGGGCCGAACACTAGAAAAGGTGGGGGTGTGTGCTGCCTCGTACGTTCCTCTTCAGAATGCTGCGAAGTGAAATTAAATGAAAGCTTCGCCCTGGATTTGCTCTGCTGTGACATTCTAATGCATAACGTGGTTCCGATATTAGAATAATCAGTTGTTCATCGCCCTCCGAGTACAACAACAACCGATGACGTCTCATTGTTGAACACGATTACAGAATTGAGTTTAGTACGAAATCATTCAGTACTGCTGGGTGATTTCAATCACAGAATCGAATGGGATATTTCCAAGCTCTTGAGTCCTGCTTCCAGTAAGGTTCCTCAACTAATTGATGATTGCAACTTTACACAACATGTAAAGGAACCAACACACTGTCCCAATATACTCGATATCGTCCTGTCTTCTACACCGACTATCTCTAATGTAAACGTGTTCTCCCATTCGCGCCTCTTCCGATCACGGAACAGTTTACTTCGAAATTCTTGTTTATATTGCCAATCCTGACCGAGGGCAGCCTCCTCTCCTGCCACGCTTCATCAGTGTAGATTATCTTAGCTTGAACGCTTACCTTAGCAGCATTGACTGGTTTGATGTTTTGAATAATTTTAATGGCGCAAACGATGTCTACAAACGATTTTGGGATCAAATATATGTATGCCGCTTTCGCTAAGTTTGTTCCACTTGCTCTTACTCGAACCCATCAATCAGTATATCCCCTGCATATTAAAATCTAATGGCTCAGAAGGAAAGACATTTCCGGTCCCTCCCCATCCCATCAGTGACAATGGATATAAAAAAGTTTGCTCAGATCTTGATCAGCACATCAAGAATTGGGAGAGGAACCGTGAAAGGCGCCTCTTACTGAGAGCTAATGCCAAATATCTATTCCATCACTTCAGGGATTCAGAAACAATCCTTTTTTACCTACTCCATCTGATGAGATTGGATCTGCCTTAGCGTCGGATTCACAGAAAGCTATAGGATCAGGAAGGTTTTTTGCCTGCGTTTTTTCCAGTACAGCTTCGAATACAGATCGAATAGTAAATATAACAGGGATGCCTAAGATAGGTAGCGCGCTCTCTAATGTCTTCTTCCATCCTGATGACGGACGTAAGACGCTCGAGGGCCTGGATCCATTCCTTCCAGAAACATATGATGGAATCCCTCAGATTGTATATGAAAAGTGTGCATCCTCACTGTATCAGCCACTAACACATATTTTCAATATCTCTATGCTCTTAGAGGAGCAGTCCCGAACATATGGAAAGAGGCTTTAGTCTCCGCTATCCCTAAAGTCTCAAAAGCTCAATGCGTTTCTGACTTACGTCCGGGGAGCATAACACCTACACCAGCAAAAGTGATGAAGAAGCTAATCAGTGACAAGATGATAGCTTGGTTGGAAAGATTTCAAGTGATATCGAAAGAACAACATGGCTTTTTAAGCGGGTCCTCGACGCTGTCTAATTTGCTGGAAGCATGCATGAGTTTGGGCCGCCGCATGGGGACTTTCAATAAATGTCAACAATGCACAGTCCTCCATTTAGGTGATGCAGTGCAGACTGAGTATAAAATAAATAGCACCATCTTGGGTAATTGCACATGTGTAAAATATCTTGATATATTTCTACAGTCTGACTTAAATTTCACAGCCCACATTGATAGAGTGGTAAAAAAGCTTTTGCCGCCCTCTTCATGATCTTCCGTAACACCCAGATGATGGAGCCTAAAATACTTCTACGTTTATATAATGCCTATGTAATGCCTCATCTGCTCTCAGCTATGGGACCCCAAACTCAAGAAAGGGGTTACTGAAAAAAAGTCCAGCGTACTCTAGCGTACAGGTTGGTTTACCTTGGAATCAACCCAGGAACTGCCCCGTGTAATATTCCGGGTTACGAAGAACGAATGAAACGGTTTGAGCTGACGAGTAAGATGAGGTTGGTTAATGACCTCACTCTGGGGTTCCGAACGCTCAGACACGAAACCAGGCTGAAACCAGCGACGGTTTGCGACGGATTAATCCGTCGCAAATCGTCGCTTCGTCATAACTTCAGCTAAAGTACTCCAATCAAGCTGAAAGTAAGACCATCGGAAAGCTCTTCTCGTGAAGAATCCAAATCTATATCAATCTTCCAATTTTTCAGAATTTTTCACCTCCGTCCCTGGGTTCTGAGACTCCTGATCATTTTAATATCCTTCATGACATAATTTAAACACTTTCAGCTGAAAGTAGTGGTGCAAAGCAAGTTTTACAGTATTTTGGACGTTTGTTCTTTTTTCAGCCATGTTTTTCGTATAACGACCGTATGATGGGCTCGCTTGTGTGGAATCCACTCATGGCATGAATTTTTGAACTTCTTCAATTTTGCTGCATCATTTTCATGGAGGTCAAAAAGTGAGTGTTCAGCACCTGAGGTGTTTCCTGCAGATATAACATCATCTTAAACTCTACACTTCATTAGAAATCTTCATTTTGAGTCCCATAGACGCATTTGGAATATGAACTTATGGTCATGTTCACTTTGACGTCCTTAATGATAGAATTCCAAAAGTTCCAGCTGAAAACAGTGATTTCAATGATCAACTTTTTAAGAATTTGCTAGTTCATTTCAGAAGTGCACTTTCTCTGAAACGAATAGTTTTGCATTTACATGAAGGCTTCCATTATGTGATATGATATTCTGATAATATAAGGATGAAGGATTAATCCGTCGCAAACCGTCGGTTGACCATGAACTAGGAGTAGTGTTGTAGGTACTGGAGTTGTAAGCCAATACGGTCGATCTGGGTCAAGGGGTCTCCACCGTACGCCTAGCCTTCTCTATTTGTGGTCTTGTTTTCTATTTATTGTCCTGTTTTCTCTCTTTGGTCTTGTTTCTATTTCTGGTATATATGGTTTTGTGCTAGCTCTACTCGTAAACTAGGGTGATAATAGCTGCTCGATATTTTCGCTATCGGTGACTGGACTCTATGAACCACAATATCTGCTATGTCTCACCCTTTCGAGGCGCGTGAAATGGCACGCATGGANCTCGTATCGGACAAGAAAATACGGCTGACTTTTTCGACTCCACGTATTGCGCGCACTACGCATCCGAGACGTTGGCCAACACTGGTCTCAAATCGCTCAAGCCTGTCAAAAATAGAGGGAAGCGTGAGGATTATCAGCCGACAGCGAGCGTCCAAGTATCCAGGAATCCAAGTACAGTCGGTATACTGCCTTCGAGTTTCTTATTTGCAGAATTACGACTTGAGCGACCGAGAAAACTCCACTCACTGAAACAAATACCAGAGGAAAAGCAGCTTCTCCAATAAGGAGCATCCCGTTACTGGGCAACAAATACATCACCACCTTCCACGTGTCATGACTCTTCGTCATGATTGCGAGGAAACACATGAACACCTTCATTATTCAATCAATACCTCCGAAAATGCGGAAACTTCGCTTGTTCCCACACCAAAGTACGAAATTTCTGGGATTTCGTAGGTTCCCATACCAAAGACCAAATGCACCGCCGACCGTGGCCAGTATATAAGCCGCCCATTTTTTGGGTATAAAAGGCCCAGTTAGTGTCAGTTCAGCAGTTCTCGACAGTTCTCGGGCTCGGAGCTCTCCGCTCTGCTCTCGGTGGCTCTCCCAAGCAGTTCTTGACAGTTCGGCAACTCCAGAGCTCTGCGGTTCCAAAATCGGGTAGTGCCACGAACGGCACTGCTCTCAACTCCAAAGTCCTCGCCCTCCGCTCTCCAACAACCCAGTTACGAGGAAGGTTTGCAGGAGGAGGAGGTTTGCACATAATGGACAAGAGCGGTGCGGTGCAACAATCCGAAGGAAATAAGCTGAGCGCTCCAACTTGTCGCCTGTCGCACCCACCATCAGCGATTCCAAAACAAGACGAACAAGGTTGCACAATCCTCAGACTGTTTGACTTTGTAATGGTACGAATTGTATTTACGACTTGTTGACCCAATAAATATTGGAATAAATATCCTATCGAGCATTCTACCACCGAGCCGTCGAAACACCATGTTCTGAAAAAAAANAAAAAAAATTACGATGAATCTGCAGGTGTCGCGAATATCCTGATCCAAGTAGTTACCACCTAACCGTCATAGAAATTTCTTTAGAGTCATACTGGAGCATCAATGCACGTCGATCGAATGTGGAGAGGTCTAATTCTCTTGCATTCACGCATCGGTCTGCGAAGGAGATCGGAAAGCCCGACGTAAGCAAATTGTTAAGCCCATCGGAGGAATAGCTATTCTCAGGAGACAACCGTGCTCGCAACGAGAAGGACATTCGGGTTTGACCAAAGCAAACAAGGTCACAACCTTATACAACAAGAAATGCACTCTAGCAACAAAACGATCTCTCGTTCAAGCACGGAACAGAGGTGCCTTTGTGAAGAAATGTCTTTCCATAGCGGTGTCACGAATTCATTTTACCAGAGGGGCGCAGAACCGAAGCCAGAAGGCAAGGAATATGCTTCGAAAAAAAGAGAGAACAATTCTAGGCAATATTTTGTTGTTGGTAGATGTCCAGAATGTAACAAAGACCACTATTCATCACTTTGCTCCTCTACTGGAAAAGGATCGCGAGTAGCCAATTCTCCAAGTCACCTACAGAACAACTACAACAACAGCTTTCAACAACATCTACCAGTTATCATAACAATTAATTGACGAACGAAAGGATTTCGGTTGGAAGTGTTAGAACAAGTGCACACATTAGGAAAATAACAACAAAACATTTTAATGGAAAGGGTTTAAAATTGACAAATCAAATTCTACTAGACTTTACCTTTTGAACGACTTGTTCAGAAGAGAAACTCCTCCAGAGAAAAAGTATTTTGAGCGATCTTAGGTGAGCAGTAACACGTCCCAGCCCAACAAAGTGCATGTTTACCTCAGGGATCGCTGAATGATATCAGGCCCAATCTAAGAGGTTTGAAGTGCTGAGAAGTGCACTAGCTGATTGAGATTCTTCGTTGAAAATCGAAACGCTTTTTCTGAATTACAATGCTTTTTGACAACCGATAACCATTTATTATGCATTGGTAACGATACAATTATACAAGTATTAATGTGCAGTTGAGGGGTGACACGTGATCGAGATCGTATGCATTCCAAAGTGGTATAGAAATGCCACAAATGGCTACACATCGCATAATAATTTTCACAAAAGTGAAATACTGAGGAATAGTTCAAAGCTTTTCAACGATTTAAAGGACATGGAAATCAGATCATGGGAAAATGCTGAACTATTTATGGAAAATAAAGGGAAACAATAGCACTACACTAAATGTGCTCTCCAGGCCACATTACCATTACTAAAATTTACTTCCCTTCAATAATATCACATCATTTCGTCAAGTAGCAGTCACCCGAATGCGTTTCACGGTCAGCTGGGTGGATACCATGGGTAAGGGAAGTTTTCAATTGGTGAGAACAACCAATCCACCAACCACAGATGCATCTGCACGTTTTTCGAAATTACAGCCCACTTTCCGTAAAATGAATTCGAGTTTAATGCATCTAAAACTACGAGCCCGTTATCACTTAAGTGAAAATAAAACAACAACAAATCTATCCGGATATGGTGTCCTTCGTAGTGATCGGTAAGTCGTAGGCGATAGGCCTGGTTGAGGCTTTCAGAGTAAGAAGGCGTCAGTTAACGTCACGCCTTATACTCGTCGTACACGCCTACACAACTTCCTTTCGCGTTAGTTCGTTGGTTTTCACAGTTGAGTAGTTTTGAAATCTCCTGAAATACAGAAATCACGATCTTCCCCATTTGCGCGGTGATTAAGATCTGGTTCAGCAGCAATAATTGAGCGCAATCGTGAAATAGTGCTGTTCGGGAACACTCTTGGGTGCTAACTTCAGTCGTCACACTTTCCAAAAGTTGGAAAACACCCGAGAGCACATCAAGTACAAATTGGGGGATTCTTTCCCTCGAAATGGACTTGGTAACGGTTATTTGCAAGCATCTATTTCTACCTCAAATGATTGATTACTGTACGCCTCAGTAACTGTGAAAGAAATATAGGCGCACAAGGTACAACGCAAATCTGCAGGTGAGGGGACCGATCTACAGTTCTTATTGGTGGTTTGACAGGCTGCGCCACAGTGTCTATCCGCAGTTTGCCAATCCACGAATGAGGACACGCTGTTGATTGCTATCCTCATCCGTAGATGGGTGGCGATTGGGAGACGGGCAGTAGGACCGGTTTCCTGTAATCGATTCGCCGCGCGCGGCTACCGCGGACCATTCCTTCGTCGCTATTACAGCTCTAGCATCCTTCATACAGCTCAATCGATATACGATCCTTATTTTAGGCAAGATTCTGCTACTAGTTCCTTTGGTCCTGTACTTTTTACCAGCTGCTACATTCTGCTATATTCCTTTGCGCGCTGCACCCCTCTTGCCACGACGCCACAATTTCGTTCCTACTGCACCACACCCGTGGCAATCTGCTCTAATTATAATCACTAGTTATTGCTGATCAAAGGTCGGAGTTCGGATATTGGATTGGGCTCATTCTAATTTTGCTCTTAAATGAAAAGGAAATTTGATTTTACGTGTCTTTGCAACTTACTTGCTACCGCGATATCGGAGAGACTTGGAAGGCGGCTGAAAAACAATAAGTTAGTGTAGTCATGTTTCATTTAATGACGGGGTGGTAAATTCACTGGCTAACTTACTCTGTTTTTGTATTTGTAAACGCAGACAAGTAGAATAAATACACAGAAGATGAATACCATCAACGTTATAACAGGTGGCCCTGAAACAACTACATACGAACTTTGCTATCCTCTCGAGTAATAGCAAATGATATTGTTGGCATATGGCCACTAGAGGAATTTAATAATCTCAAAAAGACTTACAATAAGGACACACAGGGACATTGATTAGATTGGCCTTTTGAATGTCTTGCGGCAGATTACATGACTCTCCACTCCAGCCAGAGTAGCACCTGAAAAAATATTAAGTGAAACCCAGAAAATAGATAGACTTCAGCATGCATCAGTTCCAGCCAAGGTGTTTGGAGGGTTGTGATTGGTTTTTATAACAACGCACCAATCACAAACCCCCCTTGCCCACCAACCAGCAACCCTTACTCCATTCAGAATTATCATTTTCATAGCGTTTTAGTTCAGGAAAACGATTGATTGGGTAAACAGCATAAATCATTTTCACCGCAGTGAAAAACTGCTGGTTTTTCTTCCTCAGTATGACAGTAAATAGGAATTTACTCACACACAGCTTGTCTTCCCTGTTCCATCGGCCATACAAGCTCGAGCATGATCACAGGCGGCATTCTCAGATTTATGACAAAGCCGGAAGCCTACTGGTAAAACGACTTCTTCTTCACCTCTCAATCGTATGGAAGCTGATGCAGCTCCCTGGAAAGAGAATCAAAAATCAGCTATGATAGATAGACTTGAGCTAGATTTTTTTGTTGGGACTGTGCTCTTAGTGCGAATTTACAAGTGTTCGGTTCGGAAGCGGCATTTGTCTACGATCTGCAGGATGCACAGCCTGATCACTGGATTTATTTACAACAAAAATCTCTTAATTAGACGGCAGTAGGTAGTACTGAGTTACTATTACTACCATCTTACAATTATAAAAAGAGTCGGTTTTTTCCGAAACTTACCGAATAACATTCGTAGACGCCGTCATGGTGTTTTGTAGAGTAACATGCAATATGTAGGGACGAGTTGCTGAAATACCAGTAAGTCATTTTAGGCTTCACCTAGTCTGCCTGATAGGCAAAGATGATAGGATTTCCAGTAACTAACCAAAAGTACTAAGTTTGTAAGGTAAAATCTGGCTATACAATACTTACTGTTCTCCTGAAGCTCGTAACACGTTGAAGTTGAGGTCATTACCATTGTATAACCATTGAAGTTCCGACATATTTGGGGACTTTTCACATCGTAACGTCACACTGGAGTTTACAGGCACTGATATCAGTACAGCACTTTCGGGTGGATCTGGAGCGACAGAAGATCCTTAAAGATCAAGCCAAGAATACTACGAGCTTCTATCTTCTGGTTACAATAAGTTCATTAGAAACTCGAATTCCATCGATAGTCGGCTTGGGAATACAGAGTCATAGAATTGACCGCGTTATAAGAATGGGTATCGATTGGATGCACCAGTCATTACCAGTGTACGCGCCACTGCCTTACATAGGCTCAAACGTGAAGAATTAATTCTCGACAAGTTCCAAAGGTTCGAACACTACACATTTTAGGGGAGAACGTTAGGGGGAAATAGGTGGTGGTTGAGCTTTTCTTCCTGGAGCACCCATTGGTCTTATCAGTGAAAAAAAGTGCAATAAACCGTTGGCTTATTAGTCGCATGTTTGTAATACTACTTATTGTCATACTCATTACCTTATAAGTTCCCAAAGTTCGAGGAAAGTACTGAACTACATTGAAAAAACATTTTTAATGTATCTGCATTCCTACAACATGGTTACATGGAGTGAGGGGGTTTAAAAATTTAAAAAAGTGTAACTCGACAAGTAATGGTGAACTCTTAAATTATAACATGAGAAAAAAAAACCCAGTCTTAGGGGTTGTTATAGGCCATGCGATCAATAAATCGATTCATTGCAACCACGTCATGCATGGATTATGAAATCTTTCAAAAGCTATAATCCAGATTTTTAAGGCATATCAAAAGCTCACCTTTCAACCGTAGAACGTGTTCTGTAGCTAGAGAATTCACAAAAAGTCCTAGGAAAAAGATGAATATCGATCGGTGATTCACTGAATGGATGCCAATATGTTCCATATTTGTGGAGGCTTTGCCCTGGAACTCCTTTTTGTTATTTCCACTATTTACCAAAAAAAATAACTACATGAAACAACACGACAAAAGTAACTTGAGAAACTATTCAAGGCAATCGAAGTACAAAGTAATGCAGGAGCGATCAGTGGAAATCGAGCAACGGCATGTCCTGATAAGGGCTTGTGCCCAGTAATAACCCGCGGTTACCTTTATCAGTGATATGAAGTAACTGCCAATTACGCAATATATCTACATACATCAAATACTTTTTGTATTACCACTGATAAAAATTATCGATTGATAAGAAACGAACTCCAACTTATCGATTGATAGGAAACGAGCTCCCAGAAAACGAGGAGCTATATTCCTCTTCCCTGTGCCACACATTTGAATTACTTCATTGTGTTATTATCTCAATGTATTACGACGAATCAGTTGTATTTACTTTTGAACAATTACTCATTGAAGAGATATAAGCAAGGGAGATTCTTGAATTAACAATCATTTCAAAACTCTTTCTAAGCATTATGTATCGCAAAAAGTAGAATTTTCGAAAATTAGGAAGCCGATTGTTTGGATTTTTCAATGATAATGAGAATTTCGAAAAATGCTGTCTCAGCTCAGTTGACTCAGTTAGCTGCATTTGAGAGACGGTGGTTAGGAGAGGCCGATAATGCGTATATGGAAAAGTGTCAAAGTCAGAATTCATTCTTCCAAGTCAAGCAAGCTCCCACTCTTCCTCTTGGCCAGTGTGCTTCGATTTTCGTTCTGTAAACTCCAGTACCTAGTTAAATTTTTTGCTACTCTTGATAATCTACTTCTAGAAGGTGCATTTAGGGCTATTCACAAAGGTCGAGAAATTCGGGTTGAAGGTTGAAAAGAAAAAAATGTGAGAAGGAATTTCTCGGAACTTCCCACTTCCCGACCTCTGAAACTATGCCATACAAATTATTAGGTTGTAACATAAGTTCGTAGAGTTTTTCACAAAGATTTCTCTGAACAAAAAGCAATAATTGCAATAATAAATCATTAAATAAGTTGTTATAATAATCAGCCAATACACGAATTGTTTGGCGACCATCTTCCTTCAATAGTGCCTTCAGACGCTCTTGGTCGAATTCTGCAGGTCGTCCGCTTCGAGGCGTGTCTTCAAGTTCAAAGTCGCCTATTTCAAGTTTTGCGAACCAT